GCAAGCAAAAGAAATAAAGGTCTTACTTGACCTCTAGATGTAGCACATGTCCAAATGCAAATTGATTTCTTTCAAGGGTCACTTTGTGAGGTCTGTGGAGCCCCACTTCCCCATCTTTAGTTCTCTTGATTTGGGCAATGTCCTTTCCAGCCAGGCATTCATGATTATCCCTCAAGCACCTGGCTTCCAACAGTCTAGCCCTCTGTTGGGGACACCTCTCGGACAGGTCCCTTTTAGGACACCTCAAGCCCAGGTTCCTCCAAGGGGCCCATGTCTGGTCCACAGGAAACATCTGTATCATTGTCCTGCCATTCCCATTATAGCCCATCTGTCCTCTGCTGCCAGGCAGGGACAGTGCCAGACATGAGTCAAGTACCAGTTCCTCTGTTCTCCAGGCTCCAAGGGACATATGTCAAGCCCTCCAAGGGTTTTCTTGAAGCCTCTCTCAGCTGGCTTAAAGTTGGAGGAGGGAAGCAAACCCCCAGTGGGGTGAGACTGACCCTCTGTCTTCAATCTGTCAATGTACCCTTAGCCTTCTCCTATAAAGCCAAGGTGATACAGAAGGCCCTTCGTTGCCAGAACCAGGTTTCATTTAATCCCTTTGCAAGTTCTGCATAGTCAGTGTGATGGTTAATTTTATGTATCAACTTGACTGGGCCAAAGGGTGCCTAGACATTTGGCCAAACATTATTCTGGGTGTGTCTGTGAGGGTGTTTCTGGATGAGATTAACATTTGCATTGGTAGACTGAGTAAAGCAGATTGCCCTCCCTAAAGTGGGTGGGCCTCATCCAATCAGTTGAAGATCAGAATAGAACAAAAAGGCTGAGCAAGAGAGACCTCCTCCTGCCTGACTGCTCTGAGCTGGGACATTGGTCTTTCTCTGCCTTCAGATTCCAACTGAAAAATCAGCTTTTCTTGGATCTTGAGGCTGCCAGCTTCTGGACCAGAACTACACCATTGAGTTTCCTGGGTCTCCAGCAGGCAGACTGCAGGTCTTGGCACTTCCCAGCCTCCATAATCACATAAAACAATTCCTTATAATATAAATACACATACATCCTATTGGTTCTGTTTCTCTAGAGAACTCTACTAATACAGACAATCTTGCACCTTGCTTTAGAATGTCAATGTCCTTAAGTACCTATGATTTTCTCAGTCTTTGGGGCCTCTGCTGAAACTTAGAACCAACAAAAAAAGTCACATTAAAATTATGCCAGATTATTATTTTGTAATTTTTTCCATAGGGTCCTAGGGAAACAATCAATTATCCTTTGAGTTTGCTCCCTTCTCGTATCTCACAGCCCCTTCTCTTGCTTTATCCACGTCTGCACCAGCAGGTAATACCCCTTCCTCTCCTGAAAAATGATGAAAGGAAGCTACGGCCGCCTGAATGCTGCTGGGAAAACATGGTAAGAAGTGAGCCCAGAAACTTGTGACCATGGAGATGGTTTGTAGTCAGCAAACCAAGGCCCCTGCCTGCCTTCCTTCTCTGGGCATCCAAGAAATGGTTGGTTTAGAAACCCTGAGCCCACAGACTATTTTCCAGCAACAACTGCATAGCGACAGGATTAATATGCTGCAAACCCAGCTGTACAATGAGTCAAGAAACTGCTCATGACCTGCTTATCAGAGCCAAAGTTACAATATCAGGCACACCAGGCTTCTTTTCCAGCAGTAGGGCAGACTTGATATCCTGCACTACCTCCTCTATGGAAACTAAAACCCTGGATAAAATATATCAGCACCTTGTTAAAAACACATTACTTAGCTAGCACAAAAAGGAAGAGAATCTACAAAGGCCAAAATGAAGTGAAAGCAAGAACCTAGGAAGCAAGCAGGTGTCAAGGCTACCTTTGGCCTTGAGTTTCTGTTTCAACAGCTGCAAAGGGTTGGGGTTCATGATGTAAAGCCCACTAAGGTAGGGAGTCTATCAGGAGACCCCACTCAAACCTGGTGCCCCCTCCCAAGGGCTTCACCCTCAAGGTAGGAGGAGACAGGTCATAAAGCCATCATGCCAAAGGGAACAACAAGGAATGCACACGTTTTGATCTTGGGGCTGGGAAGGGGAGGAATCTCCCCTGGGAGCTTGTAAAGCCAGCCTTTAAATTCGTCTGAATTAATACTCTGTGGTAGTGCCTTAAACGATCTGCAGAAGTCAAAGTAAATCTTCCCTGGAGGAATAAAACCTCAATTGAGGACTCAAAGAATTTCCACAATTTTCCAAGGAAAATGAGTTTACAGTAAGCAAAGAAAAAAGAAAGAAATCACACAATACACACAATAAGACACTAAAATCAACAGGCAGAAAATTCTACAGGCAGCAAAATCAGATCACAGAGAGTTCAAATATTGGGATTATGAGATATAGAATACAAAATTTTTCTACCACTCCATCCTTGCCTATTTTCTCCTGTCTCCAAATGTAAATCAGTGTGGTGGCTCTCAGCCCCTTTCTGTTTCTTCAGAGACTCTGCTCTTGCTTTTCTTCTTTCTCAATCTCTCTTTCTCCAGTCACCTTCCCCAAGAACTACGAACATGTGCATATCTTTCCCATTAAGGAAGGAAGGAAAGAAAGAAAAAAAAACACTTCCCCTCGTCTTACTGCACCACTCCTACAGCTAAGCTTCTTGAAAGAGCAATTACCGTGCATTCCCCACTGCCCATTCGCTCCTCAGCTGCAGTCTACCTTCCACACACAGCCCCACCGCTCTCCAGAAATAGCCATTACCCAGGCTGTCAGTATCCTAAATTACCATGTTACCAAATCCAATGAACTATTATCTCACCTATTATTGCTAAGCTATTTGTACTGTCGCCATTCTGTCTTCTCGGAAACTCTTTCCCCTCTCCACCTCTGTGACATCACTTTCTTCTGATTTTTCTCTTTCCTTTCTGGTCATTTCTTCCCAGTCTCCTTTGAGTGTTACATGTCCTCTGCCCACTTCTTAAAATGTTGTTGTTCTAAAGTTTCTATTCTCAGCACTTTTCACATTCTCCCTGACCATGTCATCCATTCTCACGGCTTAAAACATCCATATATCTCTGGGGCGTGCATAACCTGGCAGTGTAAGAAATCTTTCCAGCGAGGACTCCAACATGAATAGTTTCACGAGAATCAGTTCCCAGATCCTCAATTTTCATGTGTATTCCTTCCCAGAATCAATCTGCCTGAGACTATGCCTGTGACCAAGGTGTCTTCCTTCACAAGCTACCTTTCACTCATCCTAAATCTGATTATGGTACATTTCTCCAGAGTTTATGTAAAAATCTCTCGACCAGCAACTTGAAAAATTGCTGTAGGTATTAAGACTACCTAGAATGACCACAAGGTAGTGAATGACTATAATATGGGTACTAAATGGTCTTCTAAGTTAGAAGGGTTCCAACGCTGCTTTCAATAAATTAAAGAAAGACCAGATGGAGTTGTCAGCTGATTGATCATTAGAAATAGTTTTTGATGATAGATCAGTATGTGAATTGGGGTATATAATACAAAAGGGGTTGAAAGAATTGATTGGCTATAACAACGTCTTCCATCCTCATCTACTTATTTGTCTAAACAAAGTTTCTCAGCATTAATATCAAAGCAATGAAAAATATTATGGCAATTTGTGCTGAGTTCTGTGCTGTTCCAGCAATAATGAGTCTTCATTCATGGATACATGAACTAATAGAAAAATCTATTCAACCTCACCAATCTCATTAACAGATGCATTTCCAGTAACATTTTACTTTTATGTTTAATGATTGTTTATTTAAACTATATTTGTTATTTTAATCAATTGTATACTAAGAAGTATTTTAATGATAACCCAATCTAGAAGAAATTAATTAACACTTAGAGCTTTATGGTCTCAGGAGGAAAAATGTAATTTCTTTTAATAAACATATAGTAATATTTGCTCAGACAAGCATAAAAGGACATTCAAGAAAAATTTTTCAAGCATAAAAACGCATTACTTTAGGATTATATTTCATGGGAAAAGTGGAATGGAAATACAAGTTCAAAGAGAAAAGGGAAAGATGTAAAACTTTCACCCTGTTAAAGAGGATCTTGTCCATGTATTTTTTAAATGGATGATGGTAGGCAGCAGACCACACTGGCACTTAGTTTCTATTGGATGCGTTCAAATGAGTGATGTGACAATTTCCTTTTAAAATGTCAATATTTAAAATACATCAGAAATGACATCTTTTGCAAATATTCAAACTTACAATAAAGAATTTTATATGTCAACTTATAAATGTGTGAGGGTAAATACTGTACAATTCCATTTATATTACATCAGAGAACAGGCAAAATTAACTTATACTGAAAAAATCAGAACAGTGGTTGCCTCTAGGAAGGATGGGGTCATGGATTGACTGGGAAAGGGGACAAAGGAACTTTCTGGGGTGATACTAATGTTGTATACCTTAATAGGGTTTGGGGTTAGAAAGGCAAAAGCATTTGTCAAAAATCATCTAACAATGTACTTAAAATGTGTACATTTCATTGAAGTAAATTTTATCTCAGAAAAAAAGAAAAACTGTAAACAAATATTTGAACTCTAGTTATTGTTAGGCATGCTGCAGCGTTTAGAGGAGAAATGTATTGATGTCTAAAATTTATCTGGAAATGCATAAAAAAATAAGATAGATTGACAAATGGACAGATGTAGCAATAAGCAATATGTAACTAAAGAGAAATGTTTATAGTAGAATCAGGGTATTGAGATATGGTGTTCACTGCTCAATTATTTCAACTTTTCTGTATGTTTGAAAATATTCACAATAAAATATTGGGGAAAATGGGCAAAGGAGAATATATTTTTTCATAATTCTTTTAGCGGATATGCAGGCAAAAGTTGGAAGACTTTTGGTTTGTATTATCACCATTTGGGGATGAATCTTTAACCTAAATTTACAGCCCAAACCTCTCTCCAGAATCCCAATCATATTTCCATCTGTCTCCTGGACCTCTCCATTGGATTTCCCATCAGATCTAAAACTTAACAAATCCAAATATGAATTTATTGTCTCCCTGTGTCAGAAATATCATAAGCTATAGCAACAGAATACAAAAGTCAAACAAAATGAGAGTTATTTTTCTTACGTTACAAGAAATCTGGAGGTAGGTGGCTGCTGGCGTTGGTTCAGTAGTTCAACAATCTCCTGGTGGGCAGGTCTGCAATTCTTTTGGCCTTTCCTCATAGTCACAAAATGTTCTACAGCTCCAGGCATCATGTCTCAGTTCAAGACAGGAAAAAAGGGAAGGGAGCAATGCCAGTGTCAATTGAACTTTTTATCAAGACAATTTCAGATTTTCCAGCAGCCTCCCAGCAGACTGCCACATAAATCCCATTAATCAGAACTGTGTCATATGGCTACCCCCAGCTGCAAAGGAAATCAGGAAGTAAGTACTTCCCTTTCCTATCCTCTAAATTGGATGTAGGATTGGGTGGCAGGTGAGCCCATCTAAAGCATCTGTAACATTCTCCCCCAATCCTGCTCTACCTTCTATACCCCCATCTCTATTAATGGTTTCCGATCTGCCTAGTTACCCAAGTAAGAAACCCAGGAGTCACCCTTTCCTCTCTTTCCCCTTCTATTCCTCATATCCACTCTGTCTTGATCTTTTATCAGTCTGAATATCTCTCAAATCTGAGCCTCCTTCCTACACCCATGGCCACTGTCTTGGTTCAGATTCTCATTTCATTTTTTTTTTTTTTGCGAGCAAGATCGGCCCTGAGCTAACATCTGCCAATCCTCCTCTTTTTGTTGAGGAAGACTGGCCCTGGGCTAACATCCATGCCCATCTTCCTCCACTTTATATGGGACGCCGCCACAGCACGGCTTGACAAGCGGTGCGTCCGTGCGTGCCCAGGATCCGAACCGGCAAACCCCGGGGCGCTGCAGCAGAGCACGCGCACTTAACCACTTGCGCCACCGGGCCAGCCCCCCAGGTTCTCATTTCTTACCTGAACTGCTGTCACAGTCTCTTAATTAGTCTCAAGTCTTAACTTCAAACCATCCTCTAGTTGCCCCAGCTTGACCATTCTAAAAATAGAAATCTAACCATCTTATCCCCTGCTCCGATCCTGTCTATGGCTTTGCCTAACATCTAATTTAAAGGCTAACTTCCTTATTATGTCAATTGATGTGGTCCCCCACTTTCATATAATAACGTACTCTTGAAAATATGTTATCAGTTAGGACGCCCTAGTCCCATCAAGGGTCAGCTCCCCTAAGACACAACTTTGTAGAGGGGGGAGCTGGGAAGTCTATACTCAAAATCTAAATCTATATGCTAGGCAGGCAACCATCTGTGTGATAAAATTGTAGTATGAAAGAACAATAAATTTATATAATAGGGGCTCTGTTCCCAGAGAGTACAGAATATATGATCTCTAAATGTATTTTGTCTTACAGACAGAAAGTTCAACAATATATTTAAGGTATAATATCATTGTTGTTCATCCAGTTCAGAGATTTATTGACTACCTACTATGTACTAGACACTACTCTTTAGTTCTTTTCCTTTATAATAGATCAGAGATGGCAGATATATAGAACAATAAGTATTTGATTGAAGCAAAAGATTTGCCTTTTTCTGCATACCTATCATTTCTATCTTTGTCTCTATTTCGCTATTTGAGACTTATGCTTATTACCAGAATCAGCACTTTCATTTTTCTGTCTTCTACTCATTTTCGTAAATCAAATTCACTAGATATTTAAACAAATGTCCAACGACACAGACGTAGGCAAAGATGGCAACATGGTAGAAACTGATTGACTGATAGAGTGCAATACAATAATAGCTAACTCTTTCATACGACATTCTGTGCCAGGCACTCTTCCAGGCACTTTACAGATATTAACTCATTAATATGCACAACTCTATGAAGTAGGTACTATTATGTCCATGTTGCAGATGAGGAAACTGAGGGCCAAGGATAGTTGTGCACTTTGTCAGCTGACTGAAAGCTGTGCCCTAGCATCTTTCTGACTCACCTCCCTCTCTGCTCCACTTAGGCTAACTACGGTTCTCATAGTTCCCCGGGAAGCCTTGTTCTCTTTTACACATGCTGTTCCATCTGCCTGGACTGCGCTTCCTCTCTGCTTAGACTCATTCTTCAAACCAGATCTGGTCTACTCTCTTCAGCAAAGCCTTCCCTGCCCAGTGCAGTGAGGCCAGGCCGTACTGGCCAGAACCTTACCCAGCCTCCTCACTTTGCTCTAATTATTTGCTTACAGATCTGTCTCTACCACCAGAGACGGTGCTAGCAGGCCTGGCTGTCTCCGCATTGAGTCCCTGGGGCTTGCTACTATGTCTGGCCTATAATAGACACTTAGAGTTTTGCTGAATTAATGCATAGGCTCCCTGGATTTCACACTTTTCTGTCGCCCCCATACTGCCTGGCACCACATGTTGTAGACACTTAGTCAATGGGAGTGAGAATCTGGTTTCCCCGCCAGCAGCCTAACTTAATAAAACAAAGCAAAACAAAATCCGCCCCCTTTCCTCCCATCTTCACATCACAATTAACCCCCGAGGACTTGGATTCCTTTCCAAGCCCTCCCAGCAGTCGAATCCAGCAGAACCGGGGGAGTCTGACTCCCCCTCTACTGGCCAGGACGAGTAGGGTGGGCAGCATCCCGTGCCTTCTCCCAGTTCTTGCCTATTAAGGTAAGAGTCCTCGGAGGAGCGCGGGAGGGGCCGAGGGAGGGTCCCCCAGAAGCGGCCTCCACGGCCCCGGCGCTCGCACGGCACGAGGGAACCACAGCCCTGGACCAGGTGCCCTTGGCCGCGTGTCCCGCGACGGGTACCGCCAGCTTCAGGGCGGCCTCAGGTCCTACTTATCTCTTCTACCCGAGGCTCCCTTCCTAGGTTTCCCTAGCCTCTGGGGCCGCGTCCTAATTCTCAACCATCACCGCAGGCCTCAAATGAGTCTCTGCACAGGGCGCTGATTAAAGGAGTCTCAGGTCCCCAGTGGACGCTGCTTCCTCGCAGATGCTCGGATAACCACCGGGAGCGGTGCGCCTGCGGGGCGCGTCGCCCTGCAACCGGAGGAAAGGAGGCGGTCCCTGGTTCCCGGAGGACAGCGGGGGACGTGCTCCTTCTGGCCGCTGGGTCTCCACCCCCGCTGCGCCCTCACCCGTCGCCAGGCTCTCCGCACCGCGTCCCCCCGACCCGGTCTCAATCCGCTGCCAGGCTCCCGCCCCGCCCCCCGCAGGCCCCGCCCACGGCCCTTGCGCTCCGCCCCGTCCCCGCCGGCTCCCGCCGCTCCCGGCGCTGCGAGCGCGGGCCTGGGGACTCGGGATCCCGCCGCCGGGGCCGCAGCATGGGGCGCTTCCGCGGGGGCCTGCGGTGCGTCAAGTACCTGCTGCTCGGCTTCAACCTGCTCTTCTGGGTAAGAGCCGGAGTCGACAGGGCCGGGCAGGGGAGGGGCCTGGGCAGGGGCGCGGGGCCGGAGTCCCCGGGGAGCTGACCGCTGCGGCGTCCGAGCCGGGCTCCAGAAGGCAGGGTGTTCCAAGAGGCGGAGGTGAGAAGGCGGCAGACAAAGAGGGAGGGGAGGGATGGAGGGAGAGAGAACGGAAAGAATGAGAGATTGAGCAATGAGAAATGGTGAGAAGGGGGCAGACACCTTGTGGCTGTTCCTTTTGAGGAACCTCCTGCCTTGGTTTTCATCTCGCAGCTGGTGGTGACTCCAGGTGCGGGGGCACCAGCCTCTCCTCACTTCCTGAGGGGTCGGCTCCCCTCCAGCCTTCGGTGCACACACCCCCTTCTCGCTGTGCCTTTCCGCTGGAGCCAGGGCCTGTCCAGGGCGTTTCGAGAAAACCCCCTGCGCCGGGCTGCCAGGGGTGGTGCCCCATTCGGAGTATGTGGAGACACCACTTCGCTGTGATGGTTTTGTTTAGGAAATTTTGTTAGGTTTTGTTTAGGGTTGGAGTAGAAATGGTATGGGGGCGGGGGGAGAGTCATCCTTTTTCTGGGAATTAGGAGAGGGTACCACTGGGTGGGAGGAGGTGGTGGTGCTCTTCTGTGAAGGGAATGGGCGGAAGAGAAGGGCTTCCAAACACAGCAGCATCTCCCTTCAACCCCCAGCCGAAGCCTCTGCTACATACTAATGTTCCAGAGATGATCTCATGCAACTTTGCATTGAACGCACAACATTCCTGGGATTAGTGGTTCACAGAGAGAGAGGGCCATGACCCTTGTCTTCTATATTACTGGGACAAGGTTAAGGCTAGGCCATCCCTAGATCCCTGGATACCCTGCCTCAGGCCCTGGAGCACTATGAGACAAGGTCTGAAAATTGTCTTGTCTGCGCATTCCCTCTTGGGCTTTCTCGGGAGAATGTCAGCCAGTATCACACTCAGATAGACCCTGAAGGAAAATATAGATCTTGCTTTGGGTGAAGAGGTTCTTAGAGCTGGGAGGGAGCCGCAGGGACCTGGGTACTTGGAAACACTAGGCTGGAGGGGGGTGGCGGTTGTCCTATCTGCTCTAGGGAGTTTGTCTTCCTATGACTGCAACTAATTAATTATTGAATGATGGGCTCTGCTTGTGTCTGCTAACCCATTAGCCCAGACGCCTGAGTGTCTCCAGCAACTCCAAGCTCTCAGAGGCCAAGATGCCATCCTCAGCGTCCTTCAGCAGGGGAAGGTGTGAAGGAGGTACCCTGAAGACAGCCCCCGAATTTTAAAAATATACGTGGGTTTTGTCCATCTGGGCTTTTACATCCAGCGTACTATAGGGAGGGGTGTTTCTAAAGGTCCTTTATGTTGTGCTTTTTAATAGTCTGGCTTAATTTCAAAAGCTGTTGATTATAGATGTCATGCTTCAGTGACACCCTTCACTCTCTCTGCTTACAAATTCAAAAGCAGTTTTCTATCAGCCTGAGAAGGAATTCTGAGGCTGAGTTCAGTGCTTATTTAGGCCTGCTGTTGTGCCAGCCGTTCCAGGGATAATAGGAAGCATTTGCTGAACCTTTTCAGTGTGTCAGGGACAGTGCTACACACATTGCATTCATTATTACATTTAATTCTCACAACAATCCCGATGTGTGTACTATTATTATCCTCATTTTTACCGATCAGGAAACAGAGGCTTAAATAGGTTAACATGCCCTAGGTCACACAGCTAGTGAGTGTAGAGGTGGGACTCAAACTCAGCCTATGTGCTCCTAAGCACTGTGGTACATTACACTCCTAACCACTGGTTCCCAAAGTGTGGCTCCTGGACCAGCAGCATGAGCATCTCCTGGGAACTTGTCAGAAATGCACATTCTCGGTCCCATTCCAGGCCTGCTGAAGCAGAAACTCTGGGGGAAGGACTCAGCAATCTGTTTTAGCAAGCCCTCCCGGTAATGCTGATGCATGCTCAAGTTGAGAACCACTCAGTTAAACAATTATCAAACAAGTATTTAAAGATATAAAGATAATTTATACATATATAAATATAAATGAACATATGTAATTTATGAATATAAAGCACTGTTCCCTAAGCTGCTAATCTAGTTGAGGAAACAAGTCCAATGCATATAGAACAACAACAAACAAGTAAGACAGTATATAATCAAGTGACAAATTTCACACCTCTGACCATAAACACAGTGAGGAAGGGAAGTAGGAACAAAGTGACGTTTGAGTGTCTACCATGTGTTAGCCACTGGGCTTAGACATGACCTTTGATATATGTGACCTAATTAAGGTGTTCAGAGAGAAGCTCACAGCCACAGTGAGGAGTCAGGATAGTTATCCTGAAGAAGGGGATGTTTAAGCTGAACCTCAAAGGATTGGTAGAATGGAGGTGGACAAGTTGAGGGGGTGACACACCACCCACCAGCAGAGAAACAGCACAAGGATGAGTGTGACCACCATCTGATGAAGGGATCAGGCTTTGGTGCAGAGATCCCAAGCAGGGTGTGCTTGAGCAAGTTATTCTTAGTTCTAGGCCTCTGTTTTCTCATCTGTACAATTGGGGTACTAGAGTTGTTGAGAGGAAAAAGGAAATACGTGAAGTATCCAACCTCACCTTCCTATGAGCCTAGTGTACAGTAAGTACTCAGAAAATGTTATTTTTAAGTGCCTGGCACATAGGAAGCATTCAGTAAAAGTTAGCTCTCTTTCCCGAGGCACACAATGTTGGGGAATAGTGTGTATGTTCACCAAGTGACTAGCAGCTTGTCTTTGTTTTAGGATAACTGTACATTATCTTCCCAATTTGTACTTGTGGATTTTCCCCGCTAGAACCGAGAACCCTCTGAAGCAGAAATTTTTTTCTGTTTTGTTCACAGCTGTATCTCTAGTCCTAGAACAGTGCCCAGCACACAGGAGGCACTGGGTAAATACTGTGGAGTGAATTAATGAATCTGCGGGTTAGAGAACTTGGTACAGATGGCCTTCCCGATTTGCACAGATAATCAATTATCAACTTTATCTGGAGGACTGAGCCTATCTCTTCCTGCTCATCACCTATCAATTTGTTCTTTGTTTGCACAGACTGAGCCCAGGAGGGGAATAGGGGGCCTTCCTCTCTCCCAATTCCATGGGAGGTGGGGACCGAGGTCTTGGAACAGCAGCAGTTACAGGCAGCCTTTCCATGTCTGTACCTGCCCAACCAAAGGGAAAGGGGCGACCTGAAACAGGTACCAAATGATTTAGGGGAAAGTGATTGTTTGGGATAAATTATCCAGATGTCCACCTTGACTGTAACTGAGGGAACCTGATTCCAGAAAAGCACCACCCTGGTTTCTGAAGTTGTTTTTTCCTGGTTGGAGGGGTTTGTAGGAAGTTTGGGGAAGGGGCAGAGGGCGGGGGACAGTTTTCCTGGAAGGATCGGCTGTAGCTGTGACTTCAAGTGTAATATTTACACACACCCTTCAATACTTGCGTGCCTGCCCTTCTGAGGTATAAGGTCCCCCTCTGTGACAGCACTTCCTTTCCTGTCAGGAACTCAGCAGAAGGCAGGCACAGAGGTGGGGGTGGGGTATGTTTTGTGATCTGCAATTTGACAAATTGATTTGCAACCTCCTGGCAGCTTGGTTTAAGTTTCCCTAGGCTATGCTCCTGATTTTATAAACATTCACTAGATCCTGCCAGAGCCAGCCCAGCACTCCCTGGCGCAGGGCCGCTGACTGTGTTCACCATTTTAAAAAACAAAAGTAAAGCCTAGCCATGAACCCCACTAAATTAATTTCTGTTATCATGGTTGATATCTAACATGAAGCCCCTCCCAACATCTGTGGTGTCTAAATTCAGACACCGCAGTCAGATAGCATGGCATAGTCCCATGCCTGTCACTGAAATCACCTTTATTTTTTTCCTCTGTTGCATAGCAATATAAATAACACACCACAGTCCACCAGGCTGCCTATGTCGGTTTAGAGAAAACCTTGGGCGCTATTTATTCCTTGGTATATTGTTGTGTGCTCAGCGTTTTCCTATCATTGTGCTGTATGAGCCGCTCGGGGTTACCGACCAACAGGAAGCAGAACTGTTCACTGTCGAAAGTCAGATGCCATATATGGCTTGTTTGAAGTTGTTCTCCTTTCCTTCTCGCCATAATTAATGCAGCTTTGGGGTTTCACTTGGTGATGCCTGACAAGTGCTTTTAGGAAAGACGGTGTGTCGTGGGCTTGGGAGTGAAAGATGTTTGACTCCACGGAAGCTGACAGAGCCTGCCTCCCTCTCTTTGCCAAACTCACCTCAAGCAATAACTTGAGAGCTACCAGCTGTCAGAATGACTGGTTAAAAAAAATATCTGAAGAAAGTATTCCTCAGGGTTCATCCAAAAGCTAGACAACTCCAGAAAGCATAGAGGAATTTCTTTGTCCTTCTTGTAGGATAGTCCCCATTTCTGATTTCTGTCAAGGGGAGAAGAGAGCAGCAGTGGCCAGCCTCCCCCAGGGTGAACAAGAGGGGCCTAGCTTCTTGGGAGGGACAAGGAGTCTGATAGGTGCTAGTCTGTGGACAGATAGGTCTAGGCAGCGTGGCAATTCAAATACAGGAATTCAAAGCCTAGAAGGTGGATAGTGGCATCTCGCTGCCTGGGTTTATTCCTGGCTGTGCTATTTACTAACTAGGGGACTTGGGCAAGTTGTTTAATCTCTTTGAGCCTCAGTTTTCTTATCTGTAAAATGGACGTGATCAAGTACCAACATCAGTCTATGATCTTAGTACAGATGAAATGAGTTAATATATGTAAAGTAGTAAGTATGGTACATGTGCATAGTAAATACTCAATAACATAAGATATCGGTGGTGGTCGTACTTAAACACTGGAAGTGCAAGTAGAATCCTGTCATGCTGGTATCCTCCTCCTTCCACCCTCAGCACCTAGAAGAGGTTCAGCATCACTGGCATGGCTCCAGCTAACAGGGCTGTGTGCACTGACCCCAGCTCAGGATCTGTATGTTTGTTCCCTGCCCTGCCTCTGTGCTTCCACGGGGAGCCCGGTGGGTGCAGTGGGAAACCTTTGGTGATCAGTGCCTCTCAGACTTTAATGTGCATACAAATCACCCGAGTTCTTGTTCACATGTAACCTCTGATTCAGTAGGTCTGCAGCTGTAACAAGCCCCCAGGTGATGCTGATGCTGCTGGTCTAGGAAACACGCTTTGAGAACCACTGGTTTAGATGTGGCCTGAACAGGTCAAAGACCCCCCGGTGGCTCTGGTTTATGAATGGAGCAGGGAGGGCCCTTCTTCTTGGCCTGCTCACCTGGCTTCCTTGTGGCAATTCTCTTAACTCCAGTTACCACTTTACCATTATTGTTTTAAGACTTTTTTTTTTTACATTAAGACTTGATGGTTTCTAGTATTACTAGGCAGCCACCTATTCCTTGTCCATTGTATTTCACTGTATTATTCTAGAACATCCATGCAGTATCTTTGAGTCTCCAGCCATGTGTGACAAA